GCTTTGTGTTTGCCAATTGATCCATCTAGCTTTAGCTTCTGCTTGAAAACCCATCTGACGCTGATGGCTTTCTTGCCTTTTGGAAGTTCTGCCAGCTTCCAAGTCTTGTTTCTCCCTATGGCATCAAGTTCTTCTTTCATGGCCTGTAACCAAACTTGGTGCTTAAGAGCCTCTTTCGTACTCACGGGTTCAGAGTCCACTAACATTGCACACTAAATAACTTCTCCTTCAGAGTTTACTTCAGAGTTTACTCTGCAAATCTTATTGGGATGCTTCTAACTCTTTGTTGCCTCTGAACTGGACCTTCAGAACTTTGCACACTAAGTTGAAGGTTTATGCCTTGTTGACGCCTCTATTAATTAGCAGATTTTTAAGTTGGGAGTTTTGCTCCATTGGTACCACATGTATGTGCATTGTAACGAGTTGCATTATGTGTTGCATAATTAAGTTGTTATGTTATTGACTTGTGATGATTGATGTTGGTTGAAAGTTGTGAATGATGATTTTATATAATCCGATCTAATATAGTATTTATCATACACTCAATTATATGGTTCGATATCTCACCCCCATTGTTTGAATGTTGCCCTCTGTTGGTAACGTACAGGTAATCAAGAAGGATTTTTGTTACCTTCGTTAGTCTGAGTCGGTGTTGTCGCTCTGATACGTAGCATCCGGGGGGTTGAACACATGTTTTCTTTATTGTTGATTTTCATTATGTTGTTGAATTTTTAAGTTATATTCATTAAAGACTTGTTGTCTTAAAGTTGTTTAGAGTTGGACAAGATGTTATGGTGTTTTCAGTTGAATTTTGTGAATCTGCTGCTTAGTAATGAAAGTTGTTTTATTTTTAAAGACTCAGCAGATTGTTATCGCTTCACCCGAAATATTGTGTTATTTATCCGATTTGCAGGTGATTGTTTGTCGTTTTTTTAGTTGAAAGTGTAACATTCCATATGTTATTGGAAATTTTGAAACTCTGATTTTATATAATTCGTTGTGTAGAAATGAAATGTTACAATAAACCCTAACATACCCATCATTATATGATACTCTTAGAAAGTTGGAATCCCACCCTTACCTTATATTGATGGTTCCCAAGTTTCAACAATGGCTTTCTCTTGACCTAGCTATTTCTCACCTTCATGCTTCAACTTCTCTCAAAGTACGATTGTTCCAGCTGATACGATTCAACTCTCTATTCTTCCCTTTTTACTAGATTAGCCTTTAGACCCCTAATATGACATTCCTTCCTTACCCCACCAAACCTCATGACAATTACCATCTTGCCCCTACCTTTTCTACATATTTTATTCTATTTATTTAATAAATAAATTCTAAATGATTATTCTTAAATCCAAATAATTATAACTAAATTATTTAAATTAAAAACAATTCTTACTATTATTTTAATTTGACACTACCCCCCACATATCAACATCAAACCACCTATTGCATAATATAATTCACAAACAACCACTCAAATAATAAATATAATATTCGAGACATTATAGGGTTGGTTAAAGGGATGGGGAAGCATCAAAATATTCTGGAAGAATTTACAGTTACACAAGAGTATTTTGAAACATAAATCCAAGGTTAAATGGATAAAAGAAGGGGACTCTAATTCCAGTTTTTTTCACACATCTCTAAAAGCAAGAACGATGAGGAATTAGTTGGTAAGCGTTAATACCGATCTTGACAGAACTCAGAGTGTAACTGGAGTGAAGGAGGAAGTGAGAAGGTTCTTCGAAGTACAGTTTAAAGAAATAGAGATAGCACGTCCTTTGTTGGATGGTATCAATTTTGATCAATTATCGGAGGAGGAGGTTTGGCATCTAAAAGAGGTTTTCACAATGGAAGACATTAAAGGTGTATTGTGGGAATGTGGTGGAGATAAATGTCTAGGGCCTGATGGCTTCAACTTCAATTTTCTTAGAAATTGCTGAAACTCCATATCTACCAATGTTTTTAACTTCATTCGGGACTTTCATATTAAAGTCAATCGACCTAAATCAATTTCAGTGTCCTTCATCGGTCTTATAACATAGGTACACAACCCCAGCTTTTGGGTGAATATAGACCAATAAGTTTGGTTGGAAGCTTATATAAAATCATTGCAAATCTCCTGGCGAATAGGTTCACTAATACAAAAAGTACCTTTCATAATGCCACCAAATTTATTTCACCACGATCAAAAGATTCACCGTGGTAGAATCTATTCAAATAGGCGCTTTCATTTTTTATATTTTATTAAAAGACATACAACAACAGTTGTTTGATACAACAGTTTTTGTATGTAATGCATGATCATGAATTCAAATCTTGTTGTTGTTGTTCTACTGTTGCATTTTTTATATTTTATTAAAAGGCATACAACAATGACATAGTTGAGTCGCATTACATAAATGAGTTGTACATATGCTATCTGTTTTATGTGTGATTGTTGAGTTGGGTGTGAGAATGTCACTAAAACAGATAACGCTTTTCATGACGAAACTTTCACATCATCTAGAAAAAAACCAAAGTTTCATTCCAAGGCGTGCCATATTTTTTATTTTTTATTTAAAAAACAACTTGTTCCCTCAGTTATTTTAAAAACCAAGGTAATATACCATTTCAGACATACTTCGAATGTCAGCTACTGCCTTTATGTTTGTATTAGTTTACAAGTGTCAAAATAAATGATCTGATCTTTCAATTTCTTTGATAACCCAAGGAATAAAATGATCATATTTTATTATAAAAGCATTCTTTGAACATATTTCACCCTAATACTAACTTATAGTTTCACAACACACAATCAAAACAAATGCTGTTAAATTGCATTAAAAAAAATAGTACATAACACCGAAAATAGAAATTTCAACAAGTAGATAACAATAACAAGATTGACCTCATAAAGAGGAGTTTAGGTTTTATTTTAAAACTCAAAGATAGTGTTGTAATTGCTTCATTTGTAAAGTTCAATGACTCCTAAACAAGAGAAAGCACGGCAAGCAACATGGAATTTGGAAAATCCAGAGAGTTTTCCCAAATTCTGATATTGTTTCTGAGTTCTTTCCCTTCCACCAACAGTGATAAACATGAGATTGTCAAGAGTTGAAACAAGTTTTGATTCTTGAGTTGATGTTGGTTGTTCTGGCAATATGAATTCCACAAGAATGACTTTCCCATTTGGTGACAATGCTTTGTGACAAATGGTTAAAAATTGAATGCATTTATGATCAGACCAATTATGACATACAGCTTTTAGTATGATGGCATCACCTTGTGGAACACTTTGAAACATATCTCCTCCAACATGGTGAATACCTGGAATTGGTGGTGCATTTTCAATAACCTGTGGCAGATCAAAATTAATTCCCTTAATTGATGGATATTTGGATATAATCATTTTCAGATTTTGTCCACTTCCACCTCCAACATCAACCAATGTTGATATTCCATCAAATCCAGTGTATATTTCAAGCATTCTTTTCATCTCCGTTGCACATACATCAACCATTGACTTGTTAAATACTTGGTTCATTTTTTTATCTTGTCCCATGTATTCATACTTTGTCACTCCATGTACTTTCTTGAACAAATCAATGTCTTCATCAACCACTGCTTCCTTAAAATTCATCCTGAATAACAAAACAAGTATTTCTTTATACAAATTTATATAGAGTTATAAAATATTATAAAAGAACTTACCAAACTTGTAACAATGCAGGATAACATAGAAATGTAGTGAATGAAGCCAAGTAGCCTCTAGTTTCATCAGGGACAAGGTATTTTCCTACCGACGAAAGTCCATAGACAATCTCAGTGCTACCGTTGTGAGCAGTTCGAGTAGAGGAAGTGAGAAGGGAATAGCTAGTGAGCAAACGCAACATTCGGTCGAGCCTATTAGACAAGTCGGAGTGTTGGGTTGATGATGGGAGATGAGAAGCAATTTGTGATGGGGAGATGAAAGCACCAGGGGGTGTTGCATTAGAAATAATCTCAAATAAATTGAGATGAACAGCAGCATTTAAGACAGCAGGATAAACAAGATTAGTGGTAAGTACCATTGCTGAAAGGCAAGCACTGTCTTCAGAGGAGACATTGCTTTTGTTATCTTCCTCTTTAGTAAAGTTGGTATCTCCCATTTTCTTTTGATTCTTGTGTTTGCATGGTTTCATAGTGTGGTATGTATCGCTATTTATAGGCAAAATAAAAGACTTTGTGGTAGCTAGCTTCCAGGATTTATATCTACTCCTTAATTATACTTGGTTGTGTTATGTCACAGGTAACGACGCTCCCTGTTTTCTTTTGTATTTAACTTTTTGATTTGTATAATACTTAATCATTATTCATGCATGGCTAGTTGTTAGCTTTCTCAATTACATATATAATATTGTTTCTAGTAGTTCCGATTTACCTTAGTTTTAATCCTTTGGTTGTGTTAGTCACCTTATACAATTCGGATAACTAACTTGTAGAATCAGTTTATATGTTAGGTGATGACTATATTAGTTAAAATAAAGCTACCAATTCTATATATTTAATTAGGTGAATTCTTATTTAGCAAACTCAAAAAATTGAGTATGGTTATTTTGTTAGGGGAAGGGTTTAAATTTTTTATAGGGGGACTCGTTACGATTTTTGATCGTATGCCTACGTATCCTCTTAAGAGGAATCAGAGTCTCAATTCATAGTTCGTATGGGTTGGTGTTTTTTAGGGGTTGCAAACGTATTTTGAATCACCTCGCATTTTGGACGGGAGTAGTGATTGTGGATATTTTGACTAAATACGCTGTAAGTCAAAATCTGTTTGAAACCCTTTTGGAAAAACAGTTGATTGGCTTAGTTTATTGCGAAAAACAGTTTGTTGTTTGTTGAATGTTTTTTTTTAAATGCTAGAAAAATTTAATAGTAAAACAACTCTAATTAATAAAATATAAAATTTGGTTAATAAAATTATAAACTTGATGGGCTCAACCAATTACTCAACTACAGTTGATATCTGGTCTATGGGTTGCATATTTGCTCACATCATTAAGCGTCGACCTCTCTTCAATGATATAGACACGCATAGGGTATTGGCTGAGATATTTTGGTAATTTCATCAAAACACATTAACTATTTCCATGATATCTTTGCATGTATTAAACAAACAAAATCAATTAATTGGATATTTTCTATCTAAAGTTTGTTTGGTATGCCAATTGAAGAAACTTGGTTGTGTGTGTCTTCTATATGCAATTTTATTCAAGAATTTAACCTTCCAATATAGCCAAAGGTATCCATTAATGTTTTGATTTTTATTCCATTTCCTTTATAAATTCAGGCCATCCAATAAGCAATGTATGTAAACTAATTGATTTTGTAGGACCTAGCTGAAGAGTTCCCAACACTCGGACCTGCTGGTCTTCATCTTCTTTCGGTAACTTAACTGCCTCCTACGCTGGAATTTCTCTCATTTGAGTCATTCTTGTATGTTATTCTTCCTCGGCATATTGTTTCTAGCTGATATGGTTTCATTCCTTATCAAGTGTGGTGACTGGAATACTGGTGGTGGTTGTCATTCGAACCGACATGCATTTCAGTACCGTCGCTAATGTCTTGCCACAACACAAATGTCCGCACGCAGGAAAGACAACCATGTATCTATTTACTATATCGGTCCAAAGTGTACATCCTCTATGCAGCGGCAAGACTGTAGTCATTGGTGCCTCCCTGGTGTTCCCGATTCATGGAACGAGATTCTTTATTCTCTATTTCTCAAGAAGACTTTTTTTGGATCACAATTCAACCAAAATTTATAAGTTTCACTATAAATAGCTTATACAGTTTACGTGGAATCACACATATACAAATCTTCATCAACTCTACTCAATCATTAGCGTATTGCATGAAGTTGGAAGTTAAATCCACATTATTTGCACTTCTGGATTATTTTAGTTTTTGTCTGAAATAGATGCATGGTCTAGGCTAACAATGAAATTTGATTGAGAATTGTGATTTTGCATTTGTTTAGGAAGTAGATCCTTATGCACCTGAAGAAGACGAAGACAATGACGTTGAAGACGGTGATGAAGATCAAGACGAGGCTGAACTTCTGTGAGAACTGATATTCAAAAGAAGAGAAAAACACCCCTGGAAATAGTATATAACGTTGAGATAGCCTTAGCAGTAGGATTGATGAGAAAAATTATGGTGATGTGTTGTGCTGCTATCTAGGCGTTGGCGAACGATTTTCCGAAAAATTGTAGAGATGTTCTGACATGTCATGCATTTTGCTGAAATTTCGATTTAGTGCGGGCGTGCGTTGGACTGGATCAAGGATTTGTTGTTGCAGCATGATTTGTATTCCTTCTACTGAGTTTTATATGTTTCTCTCTCGGTTGTTTGGGAATTTCTTTCGTCGAGTAAGAGTCTTTGTTGAACCGGTTCATTTTTCAATTCTACGGCAGATGAGGCAGGGGATAGTTTTCAAACTGAGTTTTTTATTTTGTAAGCTTTACTGCATGTTATTATGGTCTTTTATTAGGTAATTGAACATTACGAACTAACGTTAATGTAGTAAGTTATAGTTACATTTTATTGTTTTCTATTATGAACTAAGAACTTTCCAATTTGGTCATTGTTTGATTGAACAAAATTTATAGTATGATCATATATATGTTGGTTTCTGCGGTGTATTTATCAGATAAAGCTCAAAAATCATATTGCCGCTGAAGCTTGGTTTCTTCTCTAAATACTGATGGCACTATTATTTTAGATCAGGATCAATATTGTTGGCCATGTGGTCACATAATACAAAGATTTATTTAAAACTGTTACTGTTTTGCAAGAGGATAACGAGAGGGTGGTCAGACGAAAGTTGTCATACGGTAAAATTCTGTGTAAGTTAACAACCATATTCATTTTCAACATGATAGACAACTATAGCGACAAACATTTTGTATGGTGATTCGTGGGTCAATAACTAACACATGTTCCTAATTCAGGTGGTGCTTAAAGAAAATTGTTCACAACAGAATATGCTGAAGGAATTGTTTCACGTCAACTATCATTATTTGCTAGAGAAGAGTGTGTGAATTAAAGGAATATGATCCTTTTATGACTGCAAACCTGGCGGAAGGTTGCAGATATCTCTAGAATATACAGAAAGGGAATTTGATCATGTTAGAAATAATGGAGAGTCAGTTGGTTGGATCACATACGAGCTTATTGCAAGGTTTTTCGTACCTGATATTGTGAATGACTGGTGGTTTTTCGTACCTGGCCACTTGCTGCATTGTTTTCCACGAGGATTCAAGTTGTACTCAAAATGTATAGGTCCTAGAGATTTGTGACGAGCACATTGATTGATACTTTCCCATTGTTGTTGACAAAAGCCTATTCCATGGTGCAATGGCAGGTACACAACTACAAATTGTTGAAGCTAAAATCACAAGCCAAATTTCCAATTCACATGCCTTTTGTCAATGTATGAAAAATGACTGACCCAAAAATAATTAGGAAAAGAATACAAGACAGATTTTACGCCCAATAGATTGTATCCAACACACAATTTGAAGTAGTTATTTAGAGTTTCAGATGTATGGTGAAATGTTAAACTTTGTTTGCTGCAGAACTAAATTTGTATAATTTGCACAAAATTGATGTTATTTGACCTATATACAAATTATCTTTGTGCCATAAATGATACACATGCTTTCGTGCCATTTTACTAAAAATAAACAAAAGATTAGCACCTTACAAAAAATAACTATATGAAAAATGCTAAAGCAAAAATTGACATCTTATTAAGGCTAATAGTAGGCAAATTTGTATTTGTATGAAATTTGTATGTTTTTGCTTCATTAAGTCAATTCAGGACATCAAATATAGGAGCGCGGGTTCAAACTTGTGACATCCCGTCTTAATGTTAGCTGATTATCAATTTATAGTAAAATATTCTAACTGTCAATTTGTAAGTTAACTGATTTTTGACAAGTTATATTTTTTAATACCTAAAGTTTTGATGAATGCGGATTCGTAGTCATATTTTAAAGTTTTTTGAAATTGCTTGATTCACAAGTCCTCATTTCAAGCAAAGTATGCTCAATACCACAAACTTCTAACCTTATTGTTAGATTCTTTTTTAAAAATTGGTTTTTGATTTGAACCAATAAGGTGTAATGACATTTTACATTTCAAAAAAATTTAAAATAAGGTCATTTTTTCAAAGTTTTAGATTCAATGTCACCAAACGTCCGAAGTTGTCAGTTAGAAGGATAAATGGTTTTTTCTGTTTATTCTTGAAACTTTAAATTAAATGAAATGAGATAAATGATATTTTTGTTTATTCTTGAAACTTTAAATTAAATGAAATGACTCAAACTACAATTCTGCCTAATTTATAATATTAACAGGAATATGAAGTTATTGATCAAAATATTGAATATTAACGGGAACATGAGGTTACTGATCAAAATATTGATATTAACGGCAATCTGAAGTTACTAATCAAAATATTGAATATTAACGAGAACATAAAGTTATTGATAAAAATATTTAATATTAACGAGAATATGAAGTTACTGATAAAAATATTGAATATTAACGAGAATATAAAGTTGCTGATAAAAATATTAAATACTAACGGGAACATGAAGTTACTGATCAAAACATTGAATATTAACGGGACTATGAAGTTAATGATCAAAACATTAAATTTAACTAGAACATGAAGTTATTGATCAAAATATTGAATATTAACGAGAACATGAAGTTACTAATCAAAATATTTAGTATTAACAGAAATATCAAATTATTGATCAAAATATTGAACATTAACAGAAATATGAAGTTACTGATCAAATTATTAAATATTAACGGAAACATGAAATTACTGATCAAAATATTCAATATTTATAGAAGAATTTTACTATTGACTTAAATATTTTTTTACAACAATTTCAAAACAAAAATAATATTTATATAAAAAAATATATTATCCATTCAAATTTTTTTATATATTGAAAGAATTATATGCACTCATTTATAATTTTTTTTAAAATTATTTTATTTTTATTATATTTTGAGAATAAATACACGTACTATACCTATATCGTGCGAACGCACAGATATCCTACTAGTTTATATAAATATCACTTTATTTAAAAGTAAAAATAATTTAAATATATTTTTAAAAAGTTATTTTAATATTATAATATTTCAGAAATCACTATTGGTAACAGTAAAATCTGGTGTAGTGTATGTGTTTAGTATATAAATATCATTTTTGTTCATATTATTATATTATGTCTATGTGCTTCAAATATTATTTATAAAAATTTAATTTAAAAAAAAAATCATTTTCTTCTTGTTTTAAAAATACATTATTTTAAAATTAGCAAGTAACAAGCAATAGTATAAAATTGTAAAGGGTAAATTAGTTATGGTTCAAACTTATGTTCGAATGTTTGAAAGTATCAAGGTTAGTTTTCCTTTCTCTTGATTTTTGATTTTTTTATTATCGCTAGTTTGCATTTGCTATTGGCTTTGTTTTTGCATTTTTTTTTTTTTGGTTACAAAGGCAGTTTGCTTTAACTAGCGACTATATTTGCTAGTTTTCTAATTTGCTTTTGCTATTGACTTATTGCTAGTTTGCTATCAGTAGTTTGTTTAAGTAGGTCATTGAAATTTTTATTAAGATGATATGATATATTTTTACTTTATTGTAAAATTAAATTTTTGAATTATTTACATTTAAATATTATATAATATAATTGAATTTTTGAATTATTTACATTTAAATATTATATAATATAAAGTCACCAATATTTGTCACAATATCATTGGATCATTCCATAATTTTTTCAGCATTTAAAAATGTGTAAAAGTATTTTTAAATATTTTAAACAAATCAAATAAGTACAAAATTCATAAAAATACCAACAAACAAAATTAAATTGTGAAAAAATAAAAATCAGAAAAAGAATAATCAAAAATATTTTTCATATCTTTTTGGACTAAAAATGAATTTTCTATGATTTTTTGATGTTTAAAACATTAAAAATATATAAATCACAAAAAGAAAATAAAATAAAAAGATGTGGACCATTAGATGAGAGTCAAAACGCGTTAGTAATCAAATCCAAGGGATCTGGCGCGCTGTGCATATCATGGTCTTTAATGAATAATGTACAGAATCATTAGATAAATCAGAATTTGAAAATAACAAATGTCACGCTTTCATTGGTTAGAAGATGACACGTTGGTCGTCTTCAACCTCCAGCCCTCACGAATTGCAGGTCTCTCAAACTGTAAAATCAAAAGCTCAGACCTATGTCATTCGCTTAGTCTCTTCAAGACGAAGACAACCACACCCTCGCGACAAATTTATATAAACTGTAACTCAAGCAATTTGGAAAGAAAGTTTTGAAAAGGGATTCGAAAATTCATGGTCAAAATGTGCTTCCAAATGAAAGTAAATGTTGCGACTAGAACCAGGACAATGAGAGCAACACAATGATACCAAAGTTTTGGAGAATTGATGACGGAATCTACCTATTGGAGTTGAGTTGCAGAGCTCTGAAACTGGACTTCTATGGAACAATGTAGGGCACGATTCTTGAATGTAATTATATGGTTAGCTTCAGGGAAGATCAAGGAAGGTGAATTGATGAAAAATGGATTGAAAAGGGCTTGAGAATAGGATTTGAAGTAGCTGAATTCTGAGTTGTGAAGCAAGTTTGGCAGGGTGATTCTGGTTATCTAAGCTTGGGAAATTGAATGGGGGATGACCCTCTATTTATAGAGAATCAAATGGAATGTTCAAGCATGTGAAATGATGCAAATTGGAGGGAAATCGTGTGAACCTGATGCACGAGCAAAGTGTGATCTGATTTGCATCAAAACTCATCAAATCCTTGTGTTTCAAGACTCTAATCCACTTTGGCAACTTGGTTAAACATGTTTAGATCACAAACGCGTGCTAATTTGATGTTTAAAGGCCAAAACATGGATTTCAAATTCTGACTTATGGTGAAACTTCAGTTCCAAGTTACCAAGTTCAATCCAATGACATTTCCACCTCAGGGGTCTTAGGGAAAAATTCTTGATGCTTTGGAA